GTATTTAAAAAAATCAAAACATTGAATAATATATATTTAAAAACTAATGTAAACAAAAAGATAAAACAGATTCTAGGAAATGCATACTTATATTAAACGATCACGCAAGAGATTCAATGTACTGATTACTATGATAATGGATACTGAACAGTCTACATTTATGCTCATACAGTAAGGTCAGTAAGGTCATGCCTCAACAGCCACTGCTTTCTTCTTTTTAAACCAATTTTTACTTTTCTTAATCTTTTTAATACGGCTAATAAGACTAGTATCTTGTGGTTTTGAGGGCTGAGAAATGTCATCACTCTTTATTGAAGATTTGCTGCAAAACCAGTTCTTCTCTGTAGAGTTTTCTAAACTGTTGCCAGGAAAATGAGTTGATGGGTCTGACATTCTCACAATGGCAGTTTGCTCCTCAGTGACAGTTGACTCCACATCCGGTTGGATTTCTTCTGATGGTATTTCTGTTATTGTACATCTAAATATGAAATAAGTACCAATGAAACGCTCTTGAATCCCTCCAATAACAACAATCAGTGAACAAAATGATATTCAAGAAGCAGCTCTTACCTGGCCTCACTTTGACTGGAAGTAGTGCTCAACTGAGGGCTCACTTTTTGTGGAACAGGAGCATCAATAGCAGCCTTAATTGAGCTGCTGATTCTCTGCCAGAAGTTGTTAAACAATAACGAGCGTTGATAATCCAGATAATACAGATAACTTATTTCTGGTGGAAGGTCACAAGGTTCATATTTGCAGGGTATGATGCGCTTTTGCTGCTGCTCTAAACAAAACAAAATAGGGAAATCAAAAAAATAATTAATGTCACAATTACAAAAGTCAAAAAGTTTTAAAGAAATGGTGAATTTATGAACTTACGGATGCTGAGTGATTGGGCAAAGGCCAAGAAAAACATGTTAGCTTCACTTTTAAGAAGATTTGGAGAGAGAATGACAATCATACAAGAACAACGCTCAGCAATCAACTTTGTGATAGCTTTGAACTCAAAACCTACACCTGTGAGTAAGTCTCTATCCTTCACAACAAGCTGGCAAAGAGGTACAATTGACATTAGCACCAAAAATTATTAGTTTTAACTTCACACGTATGGATTAGAACTTAAGGTTTAATACCTGAAGGTTGTATTCGTACTCCAACTTATCAATCATCATTCTGGCATACTTGAGATCTTCATCTGCATACAGCAAGAATGCATCATACTTCAGAAGAGGGAGTCCATCCCGACAACGTTCAACATCCTCTGTAATTTACAAGAATTAAAACAAAGGTACCTGATTTTAAGTCAAGTGAATATGGGCTCTACACACAAATCTCAACATACTCTGTGTCAAGCAGCCATTTTCAAAAGGCTGAATGGTTTCCTTAACGACTGGTTGTACTTGAAGTGATGTGGTGTAATGAGTTGCATCTTCCACTGTAAAAAACAACAACATAGTATAATTAAAATGATTTTTTAAAAAGTTGAATAATTAAAAGTGATTTACGTACACATCATTGGTTCTGAATCATCGTACACATCCCATCGATCAATCTGGGCAAATATATTCAGCAGATCTCTCAGTGAAGGTCTCTTATCTCCTTTTGACAGCTTGTCTTCATCCCATAGTTTTAATATTTCGGAACAAGGATTTGTTGATTTTGCTAGGGATAATGTGTTAATTCCAGTAAAATGAGCAAGCCCCCGCCAATCTCTGAAGTGGAAAAGGAAGAGAGCAATATTTATTTCATGTCAGAGATCATTGAAACAAAAAAATTTACCAAAAAAAATTTCTACCTTGGAATGTTTTCATCTGTGGGGAGAACTCTAGCTTCATTCAGGGATTCTTCAAGGAGTCGACGAGTTCTATCACGCAGAGCAGCTATGGGAACCTCTGAAAGGTCAATTTCTGCCTGTCCTGACATCTGTCAACAAAATAAATATTTTTGAAGTACTATCCTCAAATTGACAAAATACTGCCATTAAGTTAACCCATTGACTCAAGAAATGAGGTTCACTGTAAGATACGAACCTTTAAATGGTTTCGAAATGTACAATCACAATGAAGAAATTTAGAAACGGCTTATATTGGCCTTGAAAACTTTTCAATATTCCGACATGCTTAGCAATATTGTGGTTCAAATCCAAGTTGAACACCATCCATGACCACTTGTTGCAATCTCGAACAACAACAGCACACCTTTTCAACAACAACAACAACTACGCAAACAAAACAATAGACAGACGACAGACGACGAGAGCTGTCAGTGACGTCACAAGATGTAAGCATCTGACCACAATTTGACCAAAGCCTCAAAAAGGGAACTTAAAATCAAAAATAGTAAATTTAAAACCTATATCTTGGCTACAAATTTCTTCAACGCGTTAAGAAACTTCGGTAAAGTTTTCTCTTTCCATATCACACACAGCCATCAACTTATGTAACATATTTAATTTGATCAGCTCACTACGTCGCATTTTCCACCTTCCAGAATGTACCTCAGCTTCAGCTGCTGCCCTTGTGCAGTTCTGTCTGCTGACTGGTAAAAGTTTTGAACCGCTTCTAAAATGGCAAGCGAAATGTTGACGAAAACTTGCTGGGCTACTCTGGGACAGGTAAGCTACATTAAAGAGCTAGAAAAAATTGAAATATTTGTCTTAGAATATCCTGTTGTCTGTTAGTTTACATCTGGACAAGTCTTCTGCAAGATGCAAGTGGGGCTATGGTGTTTTCTTCAAACCTCAAACTGCACAAGGATAGTGATAATGAAAATCCTGCCTATCTGTCACAAATGCTTGACAACTTATTTCATGTGTCAATTTGTGATAAATTTACATACACTCCCTTTTGCCCTCTACCTGTTCAACTGTCTTTGTGTGTTGCATAACGTCATTTCACAGGACTTATCTTTTGCAATCTTGTTTTCAATATGTTATAGATACGCCGTCTGCATACATCAGCTCCATCTGGTCAGCGTATGAAGAAGTTTCTTATTTACCGATGGAACCCAGACAAGCCAGAAGAAAAGCCCTCTATGCAGGAGTACAGTGTTGATCTAGACCAGTTAGTATTTGTCGTTATTGGTCCTCCAGATGGATGAAAATCATTTGTAGTATTGTTTGTTATTTTTGTGCATCTCTATAATTTGTATCATAAGCATACTTTGGCTTTCATCCGCTTATCACTGTTGAAAGTTATTTACATTAGTGTTAATCTCGTGTTCAAACTTTAGGAGTGGTCCCATGGTACTTGATGCTCTCATCAAAATTAAAAATGAAATGGATCCGACCCTCACCTTCAGGAGGTCATGCCGTGAAGGTATTTGTGGTTCATGTGCTATGAATATTCAGGGAGTCAACACACTTGCCTGTATCAGGTAGGTCTCAAGGTAGATATTCTATTCACATTAAATATAAAGATATTTTTGCTTAGTCTCTCTCATTTTTTTCAGCAATATTGACAAGAATCTCAACAAGCCGATGAAGATTTACCCTCTTCCACACATGTATGTCGTAAAGGACTTAGTCCCTGACATGAACAATTTCTACAACCAGTACCGGTCTATTCAGCCTTGGTTACAGAGGAAGGACGAACCTGTGAGCGGTACTGCTCAGTATCTTCAGAGTATTGATGACCGGAAGAAGTTGGTGAGTGCATTCAGTATTGGAATTAAAAGTTTTTATTTTATTGTCAAATTAATATGCTACAATTTGTTTCATTACAGGATGGTCTCTATGAGTGCATTCTCTGTGCTTGCTGCAGTACTTCATGTCCATCATACTGGTGGAATGGCGACAAATACCTGGGACCTGCTGTTTTGATGCAGGTCAGTCTTATC